TCGGAATTTCCATAATGTTTCACAGTAGACTTCTGAATTGATGGTCGAACCATATTCCATGAACTTCACTAACAGTACTCCTTTGGCATCTTCACATTTGGCGAGTGTGGTGTTGGTTCACGATAATGCTCTTCCACACACCATTAGACACCCCAATAACTTTTGAAGCAGTTCCTTTGGGATGTTTTTGATCAGCGCCCCCACCATAGCCCAGATTTGGCGCCAAGCGACTACCTCTAAGGAATTTCAGACTTTGTAACACGTTATGACAAGTGCCTCAATTAGAATGAGGATTATGTCGAAAAGTAATTAATGTTGTTTTCTAATGTGTATAATAAAGGTTCTGTATCTGCAAGTGTCTGTCATTGATGATCAAACAGAGGTTTATTTCCAAATTGTCCTCGTATTTATTGTAATGAAAAAGCTCAAGGGGTCATTTTTATATAAAAGAAGTAGGTAATCTGTATTTTAGCTGACCCATTATGATTAGTAGTCAGAGGTGATATGAGTTACAATTCAAGATCAGCCCACTTACATCATAGGCTATTAACTATATGCATATTACTTAAATATAATATGCCCATCTGCATCCAGGAATTCAATATCTTTGAACTACTCCATGTATAATGGAGTTGAACTACTCCATGTAAAATCAGAGGATTCTACTAGATTCACAGCTCCTGCTCAAAGATTAGGCGGCAGTCATGGCCAGGACATTCTTTGCTCAACTTTGTGTTGTGAGCCAGTTACACCCTTTCCTGGATATGGAGGCTTTCCACGATCATTTATGCTCTGGTCATCTCCCATTTGGACTATTGCAATGCACTTTACATGGGACTATCCTTGAAAAATATATGGAAGCTTCAGCTAGTACAAAGTGAGACCAATCAAGTAATCTTGGGTTCCCAAAGACTGGCACATATAATATCAAGCCCAGCACATGACTTGCATTGGGTGCCAGTCTGCTTCTGGGTCCAATTCAAGGTGTTGGTTATGACTTTTAAAGACCTACTATCAACTCAACAGCAAACCTGGCTGGAGCCATCTTGCTTGTTCTAAGAATGGGAGGGGGGAAATGGAGGGTTTTCATTTGTCTAAGCAATTATTTGTCCTGTGGAAACCAAGATCATTTCAAACAGTCAGATAAGGAGGTTGGGTGTACTATTAGAAAGCCCGCCAATATATTCTACTGGGACACATAACTGACTGCCTAGTATTGGGGTGGGAAGTTTAACTTTGTAATAGTATAATTCTTTGGAGGAAATTTCAGAATTGGTTTCACTTTTGATCATGCTGATACTTTGTAATCAATAAACGTGTTCTTTGAGGAACCCTCTAGCCTCGGAGTTCTGATTTATCTGGTCTCATCTATCGGAACCATGACACCTACATGGCATAGGATCAGGTTGCTTACAGAACCATCCATTACATCAGCCCATCCCAACTAGTCAGACAGGGAAAATATGTTGTGGGCCCCATCAATTAAAGAAGTATGACTGGAATTCAATTCAATTCAAGACAGAATTAAAATACAGTTATAAAATAACTTAACTGGTATCTTATAAATGAGATCCAGGATGTATGTTAAATTATAATGTAATCATTAAAATTATGTTAAGTATGATATCTAAAATTACAACAAAGTAAAGTAATTCAGGAAGAAAGCCTTCTCCCCCATGGCCCCCAGAGGTGAGGCAGGTCCCCACTCTCCTGGCCTTTTCTGGAAGGGCATAAAACATGGCTCTGCTGCCTTGTGTGGCACTCACAGAGGTCAAGGCAGATATTTGTATGACATTTCTCTTTTGTTTTGGTTTTTTGGGGGGGGGGGTTGGTTTGGCACCTTTGAGCCATTTTTTGACTACTGGTGACTGCCTGGACAAACCCCTGCAGATTTCTTGGCAAAATGGTTTGCCACTGCCTCCTTCTCAGGGCTGAGCAGATGACTGGCAAAGGGTCACTCAGCCGGCTTTGTGCCTAAGGAGGAACTAGAACTCATGATCTCCTGGTTTCTAACCTGGTACCTCAACCACCACACTAAACTGGCTCTCAGTTCGTAATTAACATTGTTTTAACAATATTATTAACCCTTGAGACAGAGTTGTCCATTGTGTGTTGAAACAAAGGTCAGTTAAATGGTAGTTTTGATTATTGCCATCAACTTGACTTTTATGACTTTCCCCCCAGAAAACCCCTACCACAAAGCAAACAGGATTATGGGGTACTCCTAACATCCTAGTGATGTTATGAAACTAAATAGCCTAAACCTGATGCAGCAAACCTTGCTCCCACCCTGCAAATAAATAATGCCCACACTAAGAGGACTAGCAGATGTGGCCTTTAACTTCCCCAAAGTATTTAAAGAAATAGAGCAGTGGTTCTCAACCTTTTTAATGCCGCGACCCCCAACTGGTCGTAAGTCGAGGACTACTCAACCGGTCGTAAGTCAAGGACTATTCAACTGGTGCAGCATCGCTTGCAGAATGGGACTTTTGGCGCGCTCAGCAGGGCAGAGACAGCCTGGACAATTCTTATTGGCTTTTGAAAGCCAATAGAATTAGACTCTATTCAAGAGTCTATTCTATTGGCTTTCAAAAGCCAATAGAATAAAAGGGAGTAGCACAGCTAAGGAAAAGGGGGGAAAAAATGGCAGACTGCGTTGTTTGGTGACCCCCGTGAAATGGTCCTTCAACCCCAAATGGGGTCCCGACCCATAGGTTGAGAACCGCTGAAATAGAGGCTGGATGTTGTTTTTAGAAATATTTAGTCAATTTGGGTTCCTGATGCATTCACCACAAATATAATCCAGAGAAGGCCTGAAGCTGTAGCTTGCTTGGCTTTTGTCTAAATCCAGCTCCGACTTCACTGATACAGATAAATTATATTCTTGGCACAGTCTATAAAAGATTTGCAACTGCTTTCTTTCAGAATGATTTTCATCTTCCTAGTCTACCTACAGCTCAGGTATCTCCTAGTAATTGTTCATCCAAGTAGCAACCAGGTAATCCCATTAAGGTTATGCTCATTCAGTGTGATCTCGTGGATATTTCAGCAAGTCAGAGGTATAGTGAATATTTGCAAATGTAAATACAAGAAAGTTGTGGATTCAATTAGCTTGGGAATCCAGGCAAGGAGAGTAAAAGTAACTGAAGTCTACCTTGTCAAGAAATAGGGATCTGGACTTGTATATTTCCAGATCTCTTTCTGCTTCTGAACCATTCCCCAATTAATTGTCTTTATTTTCAGCTCTTCATACCCAGATGGAAGAGAGAAGTTAGTTCCTTTTCTGCTAATCTAACTTGAAAGTTATACAGCAGTTCTTTGCAAAGAAAACATCACTCGAAAAGGATTCTTCCCACAGTGCAGTGATTACCTGCACTCTCCCGCAGACAAACAAATCTCTTCTTTTGCTTCATTTCTAACCCTATTGATGAAAGGGGAGGGAGAGAGAAATCTTGACATTGTTACATTTGTAGAAGATGGTGGAGCTGCATGTGGTGACAACTAGGGCCGAATTTGGGAGAAAACTTCCTCCAAAGGGCAACCCGCAGACACAAAATGAAAGTGCCTTGAAAAAGGTGGGTTTTTGAGAAAAGGGCCGTTGGCTGCAGAGAATTCAGGCGAATGTAAATGAAAGAAAAGGGAGCCCTCTCCAAGCTGACATGGGTATCTCTGTTCTCGTCTTGCACCTGCTTGAACATCATTGCGGAGAGCGTGGATCCTACAATCACTATGACTAAGCGCTTGGTTCCCGTTAATGCGTTGGGTATTTCTATCGGAGGCGTGAATATTAATCCCAGCTCCAAAGAACGGTTGACGCTTCTCGCCTTTGTGTTTAGAAATAGCCACAAGCCCTGTGTCTCATTTGAAGCGAAAGCAGATTAGGCGGCTCACTTTCCTTAGAAGAAAAGGATTTGGGAACCCAGCGGGAGCTAGAAAGTCTAATCCATTTGCGGCGGCTACCGCAGGTTTTCTGCACGGGGTGCAAGCCTAACTTTGGCAGTGACCGGAAAATTACAAACAAGCGGGTCCAGGACCGGGAATTGCAAGTTAATGGGCTATCTGTCCTAAAATCCACGAATTCCACGTCGTCGGGTTAGCTATGTTTGACGTGTTTGCAGCGGTTCACAAAGCCCGGGCAAAAAGTGAGCTCTATATAAAATGCGTCGTTTTGTGTTTCCCTTATCCCTTTTCCAAGAAATCTTGTTTCTCCTCTCCGCGGATCACAGCTGTCGGGCTACCGGTTTGGAGAAGTGGCTTCGGCTGTTTGTGGCTTTCCTGCTTCCCCAAGACCCCTCCCTCCCTTTAGAAAACGCTTCTGCAAGGCACTGCAAGGGATCCACCGTGAAATTATTTTTGGACCACGCCGAGAAGGATCCTTTGGATGAAGCTTCACGTATTATTACTGCCAAGGCGGCTCACTTTTGGCTCACTTGGGAACCTCCGCTGTAACTGGTGGGGCTCATCAAACGACAGTCTCCGCCCCTTCTTCTTTTTCTGGAGCTCGACTCCGGGCGGTGTATTTTCTTCGCAACAAATATGGAAATCGTTTAGGGCACTTCTCTCCCCCCCCCTTTTCTACCCGCCTCGAGGTTTTCTGACGATCTCTCATCTAAATCCTTAACGCCGCAGAGCTTCCCATTGAAAAGCACATAGATCTGCCCAGTTGCTTCGTGGGGAAGGCTGCAAAAGGTTTGGTCATTTTTTCCACTGGGTTTTTCTTTTAACCTTATAGTTTTGGCTGTACCGGAGGGGCGGTGCGCTACTGGACTTTCTTTTCCTGTTTCGGCTTGTATATATTACTCTTTTCCTTCCGGCATCACCTTCGCAAGCAGCAGGTGGGGAGGATCATCAACATCACTCTCAGAAGCTACGGTTAGATCTCCCCCCCACCCCCACAACCGGCCCTGCCTTATTCGGCGGCTATTTCTCCTCGCTCACCCAGCCCCGCCCAGTTCCCTCCTCTGCCTCTCCCCCCCTCCTCCCCACGCGGCTCTTCTTTTTGCGTGGATGCCTCTGACGGCGGGCGAGACAAGAAGCGGCTGCAGGCTGGGAAACCCCTGTGCGTGAAAGCAGCCGCTATTGCGGACTTCGTCCTTGGCGCGCCTGCGGTGGAGACTGAGCGCAGAAGCGGCCGAGTGAAAAAAAAAAAGCAAGAGTTGAATCAGTTTCAGGAATCTGCCTCTTCCCGCTGCTGCTGCTGCGCTCAGGATCGCCGTCCCCAGCTCCGCCTCCTCTCCTCTGCGATCTCCCTCTCCCTCTCTCCCTTCGCAGCTCAGTCTCGGATTGTCCCTTGAGGGTGGAAGAAAAAGGGATCTCCGTCGAGAAAAAGAGGAACCGGGAGGACGAGGCTCACCATTTCCCTGCTACCTCCGGACTGAGGGAAAGGGATTATTCGCGACCGCCGGCGTAACGCTAAACTTTTATTGCAGTGTCGCCAGCCCGCCCCACTCTTGCTCTTGGATCCAGAAAGACTGCAGCGCGCAGAGGGAAGATCCTTCGCAGGTTGGCCATCTCTTGCTTGGGGGCAGACACTGAAGGGCGCTTGGAAGGCGGGGACGACACTCCAAGACTGCGCGGCCCTCCGGGATCCTCGCTCCCGATAGCTGCTTGAGAGATTCTCCGGGCTAAACGGCTTCTGGGTTCAAATGTGATTTTGCTTCTCTTTTCTCTCTCTCTCTCTCCCTTTCTGGTCCTACTACCCCGGCCGGAGGAGACTCACTTTTACTTCGGCTGGATGTGCTGCCACGAGGCGGGCGACGTGAGCTTGGCTAACTTTAAAGGGCTTCACCTTTAATAATAAGGATTGCGCGGCGCCCCCCCCCCCAAAGATGACTAGATCCCCTACGGGGTGAGCCCATTTTGCTCTCTCCTCTTCCCTTGTTCGTTCACCCCCCCCCCCGAGAAGCCCTTCTTCCCACTTTGGGACCTCGTCCCACTCGGGAACTGATGACAGGCCCATCCGGCTTCTTCCCTTTGGTGCGCCGTAATAACTCTAAAGGCCGGACGAGCTCGGCCTCCGAATTCTCTCCGAAATACTGGTTGCTGTGTGAAACTGGCGAGTGAAGCGAGAGGAGAGAAGCCCGCCTCCCTTCTGCGCCGGAGCCTGGGAGCTCCCTGTTGGCGGTCGTCGGCCGTCGCCCGGAGTCGAGCTTTTGCGTCTCTTTCTCCCTCGCCCTTCTTGGCCGGTTATGCAGACTCCCAGCGGCCGCGGCGGCCGCTACTAGCACCCGAAGCTGGCTGCTCCGGAGCCGAGCGGTGGAAATGGTCGCTCCTTGCCAAACGGCGGGGCGAGAGCGCGAGCGAGTGCAGAGGGGGGCGTCGAGCTTCTGGGTTGAGCGTGTGCCGCGCGCGTGGGCTCCCGGCTGCTCGGCTCTCCACCGTGGAAGCCCTCCCGTCTCTAGATGGAATTAGTGGAGAGCGAAGCCCCTTGTGTAAGGAACAGACATGATCCATGGACGCAGCTTGTTTCACAGTGAGTACCGCTTCCCCGTACCCGGGGTTGGACCGAGACCGCGCGCGATCTGACGGCGCTCGAGTCGGCCAACCCCCTCTTCACCTCCCCCTCCCCGCCGGGGAAAGGTGGTTGCAAACTAGGAGAAAGATCAGTTGCGGAAAAGCTTAATGGCGTAGGTGTAAATCTTACCCTGCTGTCGCTTCAGACACTTCCCCCCCCACACACACACTACCACTCATCGTCCCCACGGGATCGCGAATCGAGGGGCTGGACGCCCTGAAACCTTGAACAAACCGTGAGGGAACTCCTGGCTCTAGATCCGGGTTACGATCTAGAAGAATCCAGCCGGAGGCAAATCTGCCCCAACCCCATTTGCGGAAGGAGGAAGGGAGCCGATGGGGCTGAGAGACATTGCCTATTAAAACTCCCTTTTCACTTTTTTTTTTTTAACCCCCTTGTGCAGTTAAGCTAACGGAGGCTTTAAACCGCGCAAAAGTCGGTGCATTCTGGAATTTGGCCAATTCTGAGTAGGAGTAGGGGCTGATGCAGCCTATTTCCTTGCCCTCCTTGGGAATATCTTTCTCTGAAATTCACTGGAACTTACTTCTGTGTAACCAGGATGAAAACCAGAATGGCTCTGGTCCTTCCCCCCATCTTCATTTCTGTATGTTGATTGACTCCCAGGTAGGCGTGAGGGTGAGATTTTAACCAAATGAATGGTAAATATCCATCCCTGGAGCCAGCTGTCTAAATTAATCCAAACTCATCAATTACTGCCATTATTCAGGATTAAAACAAAAGTGCTGGATTTGAGTACTTCCTCCTTCAAGAAGCTCATTATTACATTTAACTGGATCGTGATTACTCTCAATTCTAAAGTTACAGTTTTCCTTAGGTTTCTTTCAGTATTTAAAATTCTCAAATCCTATGGTATAATCCTTTAATAATCTAAATGCTTTGACATGCTAGTGGAACTGGGAGAAATTTTTCATTTAATGGTACTTTTATGTCCAATTCAATAATAATTTACTAAACAAATTCAGAAATAATAACATCTTTATAACCCAGGTTAAATAATGAATTTAAATATGTTCAATAGGCATCTCAGCAAACATGGTACAGAACTGTCTCTAATACTTGATTTAGTTTTTTTTACTAAAAAGATTTATTTTTGAAGTGTCAGTGATGGACCCCTAGATAAAATTAAATTTGTTTTCAACTTATTTTTTCTGTTCTTACTGAATACAGTACAGATAGCATTATTAGTATATTGAAGGAAGATGTGAATCAAAAAGCTTAAAGGGAATGGGATGTGAAAATGGACACAGTACTATTCTTTAAAAGAAAACTCTGCTTTCAAAGCATAGTGAATGGATTTTTTGAGTCAGGATGGTAGGCAAGATGTTAATTTTCTCCTTTTCTATACAACTTTATTTGATGGAGGCCATAGAAAATAATCAGATGAAAGGAAAAGGGATTTAGCATTAATTCATTTCTAGTCAAGTGAAAATTAAGTTAAAAAGTTATCTGTAGTAAGAACCATCTGGTTAATATTCAAGTGCTCAGTAGCTAATAGGATTCATAATTTCTTCAATAATGTACAAATAGATTCATATATTAAACAGTATTAAGCCTATATGATTAAAATTAAATAATTCTGCCATTAAATTTAATGGGGTGTGTCCATATCTTTTAATTTACATCATATCAATGGTCATCCAAAGTGTATTGGTTATTACTATATCTATTTTTTCAGAAGTAGATGAAGCTTAGGGATAGCTTCCTGTCTTTGAATTATTGTAGTTATTATTTCAATAATTCTAATTCACAAATTTGGGGTTAAATTCTGTTAACACTTTGGAACAAACATGGTAGAACATTCTGCAAAGTAAACCTGCAAAGAATAGCATAGTATGATTAAGATATACAGTACATGATTCAATAACAAACTACTCACCAGTTTCTCTTACAAACATCTAAACAAATCTTATGTTATGTATATACACTGAATCAACTTTCATTACACAAACATAAACCTTCATTTAAATATCTGTGAAAGGAGCAAACGGATTCTCTGGATGTTTTGAGCTACAAATCCATGATGCTTATTGCTGTTGAAATTTCAAAACATTAAGAATGTAACAGGTTGACTACATGGCCTACAATTTGATTCCTATCAGTGGATGGAGTTAGGCATGAATAACTGACCACAAGTTTCCTACTTTAGTATAGAGGGATACATATTTTAATATTGTTTATGATTTTTTTCAGAAGGTAGCTTGAGTATCAGCAAGGATGTTTCCAGACAAGGTGCTAGATTATATTTATAGAATTTTGTTTATGACTTTCTTTGCTTTCTCACCTCATCTTCCTTCCTTTTCTTGCCACAAATCATTCATTAAGGAGAGAGAAGCAGAAGGGAGTAGGAAAGCTCAATGGCTTTTAATAGGTACTACAGAAAGTTCTCTGAAGTTCCCCAATTCATAGAATAAATTGTCAAAATCTGTGTTTGAAAGAACAATATATAAATCATATTTTTTTCTTTCTGATTTTGGAATTGTTGAGATACATGCTCAATTTGCCTATTTAAAAATAAAATTTAAATGCTTAATATATTCCATGGTGGCAGCTATTGTTCAGGAACAAGAAAATAAAATGACAACAGTAGACTTGAAGTATATTCCCTGCACCATGGCCTCTGTCTAAATACACAATTTTTCTCTTTCCTCTGCTTCTTAAATGTACTGATAACGATTTCAAAACCCGGAAATTTCTTTAAAATGTTTTGGCAATCCAAGATGAATAATGCATTTAGCTAATAGCAGACTTTTCCCTTACAGTATTTCTTATTAAATATATTTTTGACACCTTTTTGTTCAATCAATTTATTATACAGTGGTGTTTTTTTCAGAATATATTACTGACTTCCAAAACAAAACTTTTATTTCAAAGAAAAGTGGGTTATGTTGGTATTATGAAATATAAAATAAACAATATTTAACTCAGAATATCATGTTCTCTCAACTAAAGTTGTTTGACAACTAACTATGTTCACTGACTTGGGCCCACATAGGAAATTCCACAATATGAGGCTAAAAGCTCAAGGAATATAGTGTGAAGTTGGGTGGGCTTCAGAGTACAAAACTCACAAGGTCAGGGTTCAAGGTCTATAAGTGACCACTATGGGGAAACAGGTTTTAGAACTCTGGTGTTCCCATCCAAGATTAGTCACAATATTAAGTAGCTTACATGAGTCAAGAACAAAATATGCTATGATCCTAAGAGGTACAGAACATATGAGATAGGTTTTGAACTTTAGCAGCATATACCATATTTTGTATTTGTACACATATTTCTTGATTGGCACAGCTGATAAATGGGAAAAGGCAAAATTATGCTCAGTGAAGGCACATTTGAGATGTAACATGTCAGTGGACTCTAGATGTTAGAAAAGTAGGTTCATTATTATTATTTACTTAATTTTCTAAATACCCAGCTTGATTCCACTGTAAGTATATAACATAATGTTTTTGATGTCTGAAAAACATGGAATGCACAGAAACTTTTAAGACAGACATTTATTAATTGTATTCAAAAGCCTACTAGCTGGATGAAACAGAATTCAAGTGACTGTTTATTAAATCCATTAATTGGATGACCTTGAAGAAATACCAAAATGTAAACCAGAGAAAGAGTTAATCCATTCACAGGATTGTTACAAATTTTGATTTTAAATAAATTGTTAACGTTCTAGTTTGGAAAACTCAGTGTTAGGACTCCAGTTATTAGATTGCAACTCCAAGTCATAGTTATTTGCAGTAGAGGTAATTATGGATTGTATCTAGTGGAAAGCTGCATTCTGTACCAGCTGAATTTTCCATCATTTGTCTAATAGGACAGTCTAATGTAAAGCAAATATTGAATAAAACAGAAGAGACAATCCTATACTGAAGTGGGACAATCTCTTCTTTCTCAGCTTTTCTAGAGTGGAACTACTTTTAAGTAAAATGGTGTCTTCCTACTGCTAGCTATTGCTGATAGCCTAGCAGGCTACCATGGATGGTCACTCAGATTTTCAGCAGGACTAATATTGTGATATTGGATGGGGACATCGTCCAAAATTTGCCATAGTGAGTCATTTCCATAACAGCCTGGATTTAAACTTCATGGGGTCCAGACAACCCATTTCTTCCAGAGTTCTCTGTAACTGTTGTTCCACCTACTTCTTACAATCTTCTCCCAAAGGGAGATTAGAGAAGGGATGGTAGTGGTCCTACTTCACTGAGTCCAGGGCAAGCTTCTTGGGAAGAAAGTAAACCATTACCTTTTTCAGAGCAGCTGTTATCTCCCATCCCTATAGTGAAGTGTTGATTATTTCCTAGATCCAGGTCTATCTGTGTGCACATAACTGACATAGTTAATACCAAAAGCTCATAAAGTATCATCCAGTTTTGTTTTGTTTTTTTTTTTGTTTTTCAAATCTGCAGTGTAGTTTTATGCAGAAGTAAGTTCCATTGATTTTCCTGAGACTTATGCTATGAAAGTAGCATAGGATTGCAGCTCTGGCTGTATGCAGTATTTAAATGGTCTCACCTCAGTGTTTCTCTTATTGAATTCTGAGCAGTCATAAATCAAAGTGTCTCACACTTAAAAGATAAGTCTATTTATTCCTGTTGCTATCTACAGTAGCTTTTACTATGTAGCCACTCTGATTAGGATTACTATGTTCTTACGAAAATAAGTTGCAGCCACGCAACAAATACAGTATGTTCTTTCTTTAGCATTTTCTACTTTGGATTAAGATTAAGGATAGGGTTGACCTAACTAATTTGTCATTTCAACTAATATGTTTTTATTTTCCAGTTGTAGCAAGTTTTATCATCCTACACTGGGCTGGGGCAACAAAAAAAGGAGCAGGTATGTTTTTAGAAGAAAATATTCCTATGAGCTGATTTTATTTACAAATGATTAAAACTTAAAATGATTTACATTTTTCTCAAACAATTTAGTGATGGGGTGATTGTAGTGCTTAGTGTGCTGAACAGGTTTAAAGCAGGCTATGACAATTAATATTGAAAACACATATCTTATTTCCAACTATAGACCAGCACTGAACTATGTTAACCAAAAGTTAATGAATAAATTTTCTGAATTCCAATGCACCTGCAGGTCTAGCAGGTCTGTTTTGGCCTCCTGTTTGAATCAGGAGGCCAAAACAGGTAAAATAAAATCCTACAAATTGGATCCTAAAATAAGAGTATCATTTTAATCACATCCTGGCCAACAATTATATGAAGTTGGTAAACTTAGAAACATATGGTTACATTTATGGAATCAATGAATTTCAAGCTCAGAAGAATAAAGTGACCTAGTACAAAGAGAAGAGAATACTGTATTTGTAGCTTATGGTTGAACTCTGGAGTCCTTGGTACTGTCTGAGCTTGGTTATTTGCTTGCAGACATTTCTGTAAAAAAGATGGATTGGTGACATTGCAAACATTTATGCTTCTTGGCTTGGAAATGTGAATGAACAGGTGCTGCTGCTACTTTCAAATGCAAAACAAGCATTACATCTCAACGGTTCCTTTCTGGCAGAGAATACAAATGGAATTCATAATTCACAGATAACTTTTTTTTAAAATAATGATATTAGTAGTTGACTGAAATATAAAGTAATAGTAACAAGAATTTTCTGGTCTGATTCACAAATTTCACTGAGCCAAATCTTGTTCCACAAAAGTTTATGGAGGAAACAATAGATTGGTTTAGAACAGTGGTTCTCAACCTGTGGGTCGGGACCCCATTTGGGGTTGAACGACCATTTCACGGGGGTCGCCAAACAACGCAATCCGCCATTTTCCCCCCTTTTCCTTAGCTGTGCTACTCCCTTTTATTCTATTGGCTTTTGAAAGCCAATAGAATAGACTCTCTTGAATAGAGTCTAATTCTATTGGCTTTCAAAAGCCAATAGGAATTGTCCAGGCTGTCTCTGCCCTGCTGAGCCCACCAAAATTCCCATTCTGCAAACGGTGCTGCAAGTTGTCTGCAGTGAAGGCGAGCTGTCTGGAAGTTTCCACCCCTCCCTGCTGAGCAACTACTAAAAATGTAAGTAAAAGAGGGCCAGGGGTGGGAGGTGGGAGGCCGGCGGGCGCAGGGAGGGTTGCTGGCGCGCGTGGGGCCCGGCGGGTGCCTTACCTCCCTTGGGCTGGGCTAGCTGGTGGCCCAGCCGGTGGTCGGCCTGCGCCATCGCTGCCGCTTGCCAGTTATGCCTCGGCCGGTGCAGGGGGCGGCACCACGCATATGCGGCGCTCCCAGGCAGGGAAAGTCCTCGACTTACAACCAGTTGGGTAGTCCTCGACTTATGACCGGTTGGGGTCGCGGCATTAAAAAGGTTGAGAACCACTAATTTAGAACATATGCTCAACTATAAAGCCTATTTTGCAAAGTCTGGGTTTATAATGCACAATTAAAACAAAACGTACCATATTCTGGATTAATGTGAGAAGTGAACTCAGCCAACTTCAAATTTGATTACTGTATAATCAATATCCCATATAAGCTCATCTAAAAAGTAGATTCCTAAAGATAGGATTGTTGAAAAATGATTCTGACAGAATTAAAAATTACAAACATATACAAATATGAAGCTTTCTTAACAAATAATAGAAAAAATAATTTTCATGTTTGATACTATTTTAGAACATTTAGAATCCTAAATATTTAATGTAATTCTGATTAAATATAAATCATAGATCTATTAAATATAGCTAGTCAAATTTCTACCTCAACCCAAAGAAAAAAAGAAAGGTAAATACTTAAAAGATAAATAGCTATAGATAGTCCTCAGAATGCAACAGCAATTAGAACTAGGACTGCTGTTGCTAATTGATCCATTAGTAAAGTGTGAATCACATGACTTCACCCCCCTAGAAACAGCAGTCCCAGCATTCTGTTGCCACCATTAAGCAAGGACTTCATGGCTTATTAAGGCCCACATGTGGACACAATTTTTGATTTCCTGTCAGCTTCTGTATTGGCTTTGCTTGTGGGAAGCTGGCAGGTAATGTCAGAAACTGGACATAACCACAAGCTAGGGGCAGAAGGCTCAGATCACAATTTACATAATTTGGGAATGTTGCGACGGCCAGAACTTCAAGGATATGCCATAAGTCTACCTTGTGGTCAGTGCCGTCACAAGTTTGAATGGTGGCTGAATAGGTTGTAACTAAAGGACCACTTGTATAAAACTTGAAAGTAAGTAAACTCATCTTCCTTTCCTGTCTACAAATACAAGCTGGAACAAGAAGGGATGAATTACCTTCATTACTTAATGCCTGAGCATATTTTGAGTAGTTTCTTTTCCTATGTGTATTTATCTAGTACTACCGCCACACCTAACAGAGTTAACTAGATTACTAGTCAGAATATTGTTAAGTATGTTAGAAAATGTTTTACTGTATTTAAGATATGTCCACAGCTTTCCCATGATTAACTATAATTAACCTGGAAAGAGTTCTTTTTGACAACCCATGTTTCCTGTAGGATTTTTAGGAATTGAATTTTTTTACGTGCTGTGGAGTTTTCCAGCATACTGACATCAGATATACATATCTACCCATTTCCTGGATCTTCTCTTTCACTCTTTTTGAAGACAGGGATAATTTCTTTTTCCTTTTTTGTCTTCTGGCATTTCGTGTTTTGCAGGTTTTCCTAAATACAAAATGCAATCTGAGAATCTATGAGCAGTTTCCTTTAGTGCCTAGGATGTCATTCATTTGGAATAAAAGAAATGAACTTATTCAAACGTTCTTAGATACTCCCTAAAATTTTCTCTGTCAATCACCCCATGCTTGCTTAATGGAAACAGATCCTTTTCTGAGAGAAAAAAAATACATTACCTCTGAACATATCTACCCATTTCTTACACAATCAGTTTTCTGCTCCTTTTTAAATTGCATATATGTAAAGACAACTTTTTCTGACCATCACTTTTAATCTTTGCAATTCTGGGTTTTTTGTCTCTGCCTTTCTTTCATAATTACTCTTTCTTTCCCCTTCTCATTTTTTTTTTTGATTGCTTATAAGCTTTTTGTGCAGCTGCATGGGCTTTCTTTATTTCCCCCTTTCCTCTCTAATTGGAATTTTTTATGATTGCATATTTAATACTTCCTTTTTTAGAAGTTTTTTTTAGAAACTTCCATTAATATCAAACTTTTATTCTATTAATTTTTCATGCAAGAACAGTCTATTATCATTTTTTCTGAATTTATTGAAATCACCTTTCCCTGCAGCCCAAGGACTATGTTTTTCACTTCATTTTATATTTCTTAAGTCAGATGCTCCACTATCATACGGTTGCCTCCCCCAATAAATCCTTTCATATTACTAACTATTTTTTCCTATTGGTTAAATCACATTACATCAAATCAAAGAAATCCAATTGCTTTCTTCTTTTTATATCCTGTAACCAAAACCAAACAGGATTTTCCTGGAAATCCATCTGTAGCAATTGCATCTTACCAGATAACATTGTGATTAAATCTCCTCATTACCATTACAACATTCTCTCATTTGATTTTGGAAAATGTCATCCATAGCTTTTCCTGATTGGATGGTTGGTAATCAGATCAGATCCTTTCAGCAGTGTTGCCATGCCATTTGGGGCAATTTTATATAGGTAGAGCTATTTTTTTAATTATAATGCAATTCCTTCTTTAACATGCAATGGTTCCAGTTTCTGGAGTATGATGAACCCTTGATACTTTGTTATATGTGATAGTATTAGTAACTGCTGCTTCAAATTGATTTTTTTTTTAGAAATACCATAACTTTGCACCTGTTATACATGCACACTACTGTTTTCGTGCAAAAAAATAAGGCTATAACTATATAGCATTCTATCCTTTATTCTTGCAGATTCTATCATTGTTATTATTGTTTTAAAATTCTGTTTGATATCTTGTATTTCTTTATAGCTGATAGAAGAAAATATTTGTTAAGCTGTGGGGTCCTTGGTGCTCTCTGAGCTTGGTGGTTTTCTTGAGACGTTTCATTATCAAACTAGGTAATATCATCAGTGTTAGCACTGATGATATTACCTAGTTTTGTAATGAATGCAAGAAAACAACCAAGCTCGGAGAGAACCAAATACCTCAAATTCCTTTGAAGTGCCCTTTCTGGTAGTCAGTATAATTTTGACTGCCCTATCAGGCTCTACTGTCACACTTTTGTTTAATGTCTCAAAGCATTTCCAAAAGTTTAGGTTTGGAATTTCTCCTCTCTGGTGTAACTATGGAAAAAGAAGACCTCATCTTTGGGGTTGGATTAATAAACTCAGATTCTGACCCTATGCTATAAGTAGGAAGTTATAGCAGGCTACAGGTGAAAGCAAGTGATTGCACATTATGTATTTAAGCCAAAGCATGATCTCATCTTTCTTTCCCCCCCTTCTTTTCCAGAAAAGCAAAGCAGTTCAGAAGGACAGAAGACAGTTCAGTGTGGAGTGTGGACAAAATACACAGAAGGAGGTATTTTCACTTCCCCGAATTATCCCAACAAATATCCTCCTGACAGAGAATGTGTCTATATTATAGAAGGTAATCTAATACATTCCTTTCTCTCTCTCTCTCTCTCTCTTTTCATTGTTGTACCTTTGGCAATGATTATTAAACTTAACCATTTCAAAATGACCTTTATCTAGTAAAAATGTATAAACATTCTTTTTTGAGAGGGACATCACTATGTTCTATGGCTGCTTCTGTCTTGTTTTTTCCAGTGCACTAGTAGCACCTTCATATTTGAACAAGGAGCCAGTTTGATATAGTGGCTTAGATGCTGCACTTTAGACCTGGGGGGAGGTGTCTTTGAATTCTAGTCCTCCCATAGACATGAAAACCAGTTGGGTGACTTTGAGCCAATCACTGTTTTGTTGTGGGGAAAATTGTGGGGAAAATTTGGGACAGGGACATTAACTAAGCAATTCCAATAGAGGAGAGTATATATAGCACAGTGGAGTTCTTGACGCTTCCTGGAGTTGATTGATTGCTTGCAGACATGACCAGCTTACTTGTACTGGTAATGTTGCCTTGTTGGGTCATGAGATATCTGTAAGCAAACACAACCAAACTCAGCACCAAGAACTCTATTATGTATACCAATTTGATCAACATTAAAGGCTGCTTTAAATAAATCATATCATAAGGAAAGAGCTACATAAGAAAGCTTTTGGCTCTTTTTTCAGTTTATCTTCCTCTGCTAAAAGCACTAGGGACTTCAGGTCAGAAAAACTATTGATACAATCATAGATCTTGAAGTACTGTGGCAGGTTAGCATCTTCTATTCAGGGGAATTGCTCACTTTTGCATGCACATGTTGGCTTTGATCTCCCAGTCGTTTGTGCCATATCAAAGGCAAAGTCTCTGTAATACCCTCCATTTAGTCTTAGAAAATAAGATTTTATTTTGAGAGTTACTTTTCAGAGGGTTAGGCTACCATCCAGTATATTTCTTTATTCCTCCTTGCTGCTGGGGGTGAAATTACAAGACTTATTTGCTAGTACCTGAGTTGTGAAAAAAATGGAAGTGAAGAAAGAAAACTTTGTATTCATAGAAAATGCATACGTTTCTGAAACAGTCTGTAGAAGCTTGCAAGCTGATAATTAAATAGAAAGCATTCTCTTCCATTTTTAGACTCAGTAATTTGACAATAAGATTAATGCTGTTGCACATCATTCTAATTTTTGTAGTCTTTTTTGAGTTATAAGAAACAGGATGTTTCATAATATGGTTAGACTTTTGGCAATATTTCAGAATTGTTGGCAGCAAATCCAGGTCAGTCACAAAGTATATCAACAGGAAGTTGCAGCCAAATCATTCTTTGTAAGAACTGTGTTTGTATGATGTTCACATTGGATAGTTCCGGGGTTGCTAAAACATTTAAACTATTTTTTTAAATGTGATATATAGCATTATTTTTCCTTACATAGACTGCTTTAAACTCCTTATACTGATATCATTACAAAATAGAGGCCCCTAATAGATTGGAAGCTACATATAATTATCAGAAAATCATGTTTTTTATAATACTTATTCTTTTACATTTGTTGACATCATGATGGAGGTTTGTTAATTAAAAAGTCAAAGAGCTTGGGTTCTAACTTCAGACTGTTGCAAAAAAAAAGAATTTAATTCTATCCATTGTAGCTAATTAAATTGTATCAAAATGGATTTTTATTGCTGTTTTAGATTTTAAGATTGATTTGGCAATGAAGTATTTTAAATCCAAATTCCTTTTATTAGGCTGCTTGCTGCTAACTAATGGGAGTTATCAAGGATTATTCCAGTCCATTTGTGTGATATTGGCTCCCAGTTACGCAGAAAAGATGTTTAGATCAATCTTTCATTTCCAGACATTCTGTTAAAATGAAATAGATTTATTTTTTTTTGCTTAGCTTCAGCTGTCAGCTACATGAAATTACAGGCTGGTAAGAATTAAAGCCTTAATTGTATGGGCCTCTTTCATTGCCTCTATTCCTCTGCTTCTTGTTAGAACCCCAAGTCTTTTTAAGCAGATGTAAAACCTCAAGGCAGCACTTCTATAAGATAATTAGATGAAAAAGATGACAAGACATGCCGGCATTAAGCAATCTTTTCCATGTTATTAGGACTCTTTGAAGAAAGGTAATTAGAACCTAAATTAAAAAGATTGCTAAGAGTTCAAGTAGTAAAAGCTCATTGCAGAACAGCTGTGACCCATGACCACTGTAGTTTGCAACATTTTTTTGCATATTTGCTTTTACTATTGCTGGAGAGATAAGAAAAGAAGAAACTATCTCATATTTTTTCTGAGATGACACTTGCAATATGGCCAGTGGAATGGATGAATAAATATGAATAGATAAGCGTTGGTGTAAGTGTGTGTTTGTATATACTGGCCCATATTACAAATGAGTGCAAATATCTGCAGTGATTTTTCCTTCAGGGTGTAAAATAGCTCTTGGGAGCTAGAGATGACATTAGGAAAGGTCAGGGAGTAAAACCTAGCAAGATTTCTTGGGATAGGCTACTATATCTGAACTGCACAATCAGCATAATCACCAAAAGCACTGAATGTCAACTTTGCTGCAATCAACTAACTATTGAAGACTTGCATTAATTATCACATAATTATTTTGAGCCTAGTATTATTTTGCATACAAAGAAGAAAAATGATCATTCTCATTAAAATAGACATCCTTTTTGTGACTTTTTTTTTAAAAAAATCCAGATTTGTTGACAAGAGGAAAGCTTCCTAGAACAAATCTAATATTGTCTGTCCTTTGCTTTTAATTCGATGTCCGAACCTATTCCTTGACCAAGAGCTTGGAAAATTTAGTGTTTCACAGTAATTCAATCTGTTTTGTTTATCCAGAAGTCCAGTTTATTAATTGAATAGATTCTACACAGGAGAGTTGAAATACTTTGATAGTTAACATTTCTAGAATGTAGCTCTGTGCTTGCCTGTTCAATGAACACTAGCATATGCAGTCTTTCTGCTTAGCTGTCAGAGATACAATCCTGGAAATTAAAATTAAAAATTAAAATTTTAATTTGAAGTACTAAATGCAAACTTTGTTTTCATTGGCTGAAGTTGTTCCTGAACAAACCAGAACACTTAAGCTGGTATGAAACTAGTATGAAGCTTCCACATCCTGCTGTGATTCCCAATGATATCTACTGTACCTTGCTGTTCTAGAGATTCCCTAATTCTCAAGAACAAATGGGTCACAAAGGGAAGCAGGAGAATGAGGAGAACAAATGGCATTTCCATATATGGACGTCTTCCATTGTATGAACATTCTTCCATTGTTAGCAAGCACATTTGCGTGATTAATTAGTGACTCAAAATGTCAGTGTCTTTGCTTTGTTTTTCATTACCAAATAGATTGCAAAAGCCAGATCATAAAGAATGTAATCTGGTTTTGGCTTCCACATTTGACAAATGACAGATGTAACCTGTATGTGGGAATAGGATGCAGCCAGTTCAAAAATATATGTTGCTTTTTTACATTAAGCTTCAGATAAAGAGAAGAATTCTCTCTACAAGTCTGCAGCAGAAATAGTGCATGAGTCTAATCCACAAGGTTACCAAGTTAACATCTCTTTAATCACTTTTAATGTTTCCATTTGGTTAAACATGAAAGCATGCAAATTTGTGAAAGCAAACTCATTAGACAGCTATATTTGAGCTACAAAATTTTAAAAACAGCTAAAGAGCTAGTATTTGAGTTTTCTTTCAAGATTACTTCTACTTTTCCTTCATGGAACAGGATTTCAATTCCTATGCTGTTTAATAAATCAGAAAATATGCTGAAAATTCTGTAAGTTGGGAAATTTCTGCAGAATTTGACAAAATAGTGCTGTACTGTGGTGGTAATATATACTTACATGGAAGGAACAGAGTTTATGAACCATTTAGGACTACTTGAAATTTAGTGAAGACATGACACCTTAATGGATAGTTTTGTGTCTTGTTTGTTTAACCGGAATTTCTTATGCATGAATAAGATTTAGATGAAGCTCAAGATCACACTGAAGGTCATAGTATTGCAAGACTAAAGGTAGTTCTAAAATATTCAGAAACTCTAGGACTCTACTGCTACAACAGAAAAATAAACATAGCTAATCACATAGATGTTGCTAAATGTAGTTGCTACTTAGACCAGCCATTACAAATAAACAGATATACATAAACGTTGGTGCTTTGCTAACATTTACTTTGCTTTGCTCTTTAAAGAAAAAATAATAATTGCAGGAAAAGAAGCAAAGGAAGACTTGAGTGCCTATGCACATTTTTTAGCAACCAGGCCATTCTGTTACCTATTGTACATGTCCTACAATACAGAATCCAACAGTTCAAAAAATTAAAAAAAAAATTTAGCAGGAAAGCCAACTGATATTATTATTGAAAAGCCTTCTGTTTATGCTTAGAAATAATAGCTCTAAGTAGACTTAAGTTATTTGCCTAAGCAAAACCTCAAACCTCATAAAATACAGTGGTACATAAGTTTAGAAACAGCACATTTGGAAACAAATATATTTCAGTGCATAAAATTATGGAAAGGCTTTGTTTTATTTTTCAGCTGCCCCAAGACAATGTATTGAGTTGCACTTTGATGAGAAATATTCCATAGAGCCTTCTTGGGAGTGTAAATTTGATCATATTGAAGTGCGAGATGGACCTTTTGGATTTTCTCCAATAATTGGTCGTTTCTGTGGACAGCAAAATCCACCTAAAATAAAATCCAGTGGCAGATTCTTGTGGATTAAATTTTTTGCTGATGGTGAACTTGAATCTGTAGGATTTTCTGCACAGTACAATTTCACACCTGGTAAGTGTAAATTTTAATAATTTCAGAGGAAGATATTTTAGTATTTATAATGATAGACTTTAGAAATATTGTAAAGTTATGCAATAATATATTAAAATTAAAATGACAAATTTTTAATATATTTTAAATGGGAAAAAATGTTTGTTCTTCAGAAAATAGATGCTTCTTTTTTAGAATTTAAACTGTGCTTTGAATTTATACTGAGTGATTTAATTTAGTTAACTGGCTATTTATAAATATTTATTTTATTTAGTTAACTGATATAAATCATCCCACTCATGGTATATAATGTGAGACAAAAAATAAATAAAGCAATAAAGCAAAATAAAACTATAAAAATAGAAGCCAAAGCTTTCATTACAGGAAAAGTCTTTTTGAAAACCCACAGTTATGATGCCTAATGAAGCATAATAAAGGAAGTATTGTGAACCCAATCTAGGAAGTGATTTTATAACTGCAGCGTTCCTAACAACTTTGAAATCCTGGATGCACAGAAATAAAGTTGGCATTATGTGTCCAAAACTTCTTAGGTTGGTGATGATCATTATGTCAACAATTCTCAGGGTTTTTTTTATGACCTTGAAGACAACAGCCAAAGAACCATTAACTTGGAAAGACAGGAGGAAAAAGCTTCACATTTAATCCCTGCAGCACAGGCATATATAGGCTGTGATCTCTCCATGCTGCAGCAAGGAGGTGTTTTGTTGTAGTTGGCTTCATTCTTCTCTGCAATAAAGTATCTACACTGGCTAAGTGATGCCAATTCTAGAATAAGAGAAGATTTTAGGTTTGAAATTGTGCCAGGCTGAATCATGACAATAGAAATTTCCAATGATAGTTGCAAATTCTGGGCAAGTAGTATAAGATGAGATAGTTATCTAGGCTGTTGCAGCTATCTAAGAGATTACCTAGTGGCTGGAATTAAAAAAAAAAAAAAGCAAAACAGAAGCCTACAGTAACATTCTGATATAATGAACCATTGAGAAGGAGGGGATATCCATTAATTCCCGTTGTCCATTAACTACAAATGTAAGTAATTTACATAATCACATAATTGGTATAAAAAGCATCATTTGCAGTAAAACGTCCATTTAACAAGCAGACTGTCAGTTTAAACATCTTTTAGTGGAATTTGGAGCCACATGAAAAACATGACCATACAATCCTACACCTGTTAAAGCATGGTCCATTGAAGCAAGTTTAAGTGTACTATGGTTTTATCTGGGTAGTAATCATTGATGGAGTGCAATATACATTTTTATGCTGGGAGAATTATGATCACGCAGAAGGAAAACAATTGAAATGTTCACTATGTATTGGTCACATCATTATACCATATTAGTTTTGTATATGTAGATCTTGTCAGCATCACAGTCAACTATATGAATGTGTTTTCAGTAAATGAAATAATATTCTCCACAAAAGAAGTGGAAATATGCTTGTTTTAACATCATCTCAAGAAAATATTCTAAGAAAAAATGTATTTCAGCTCCTGCTCTTCTTCTTTCCTTTGAATATTGTCTTTTATTAAAAACAGAAACTAGTGATTTTTTCCCCATCTCTTAAACTGCAAATTGTTTTGCCAGAGGAATCCAAGATCCAAAGCATAGGATTCATTCAATCAAGCAGTTCTGTGAAATAATCTTAATTCCCGTCTTTCAATTCTGCCTTTTCTCAAATTGTCTGATTTTATTTCTGAAAGCAAAAGGAGTATCTGCAGTCGGATTTGCAATGAAACTTTGCAGTAACTTGCAGAAGCTTTCAGAGATTTCTAGAAGATTCATTATATGGAATGAGAAGTGCTCCATTCTGAATGTATGTCAATATCTTCCGTATAGTTAAAGAACTGTGAGCATCAATATGCTGGCTTCCAAGGTAGTATCTAGATTAAAGATTGTAGCTTGCATAGATAGATTTATTTATAAGAGGTAAGACTGGATTTTCATTCCAGTTGTAGCCAAAATAACTGGTATTCCCTAATATATATGGCATGGGTATCATTAAGATTAGTATATACCCTTTCTGTCTTATTAGAAGGCATAAATTTGAAAACCTCAAATTTATCAATGCCACAGAGATGGTAGTAATAAATTATTGATTTTTAAAAAAATATGTTATCTGTGAAACCAAGAAAAAGAAGAGGTGCAATAGGACTGAATAAAGATGCAGTTAATAAATACTGTACAAGCAGAGAAGTGAAGGTATAGGATTAACCATGAATAAAAGCACTAAAAGATATGCCAAAAAACATGAATAGCTATAATTATTGCGGATGAGAGTGAAGGTAGAATCCATAGGTTGGTGTTAGTTTCATATTAAATTCCAGTGAATTGTTATAACGAAAAGTGAAAAAAAAATAAGGGTAAATGGATGGGGAAGGAAAGAGAAATGTACAACTTTCTGAATGAATTTGAACCAAGGGGGAAAGTGTTTTTTGTTAACTGAAATGAATGAGAAAAGAATGCATAATAAGAAAAAATGACTAGGATATTTTGACAGCCAATAATGAATGTCCGATGATTTGGTGTATATTGGCTTAAGCAAAAGTGTCCTTAGAATATATGGTTAAATCTTGTCTGTTGATATCTACAGATGAAAAAGGAATGCTTTGAAAAGGATGGTATATTTTAGTTTATGATAAAAGACTAAAGACTTAATAAAAGATACAAAGATGAGAGGTTCTAACAGAATAATGTTTGCATAAATTTAACATCTAAGAGAAGAAAAGATGTTAAAGAATCTAGAATAAAAGTAGACTGCAAGAAGAGAAAGTGTAAATCTGCAAGGAACAAAGGAAAATAGATTAATATCACAGCACAATAAGGAAAGAGCATGTAGAAGTTACTTGGAAAAGAATAAAAGAAAAGTTACAGACTGCCACAATAGTAGGAAAAAGGATTCCTGCTGGAAGATGAAGTGGACAAGACTATAAATGAGGAAAAAAAGAACATAGATAGAAAAATGATGGGTGCAAAAATGACAGTGAAATATATTGCAAAATTGTGTATAGAAAGAAAAATGTACTACCAAAGAATGTAGCTAAAGAACTAGAACCAAAATTTAAAGCAGCAATGAAAATGCTGAGCAATATTGGTAGAAGGAAAATTGTTTTGGAATTTGGTGAAAGGACTAAATAAGGAGCCTCCAGTAGAGTGAATGGAATAAAGAATAAAAACGGTGAAATCATTTTGGATGAAACTGAAATAACACTGAAAGCAATATGTTATCAGGGAACAATAGTGGTGCATTGCTGGGTAAAGCCATAACAAATAACAAACAAATAAATGAAGGAAGTTCTAAATGCTGTGAGAATATTAAAAAATGGTAAGGCTGCAGATGCAGGTTAAGAAGCATTAAAACTTATTTGCTTCTGGGGTAGTTGTGTTACTTATAGTTTAGTATGCTTAGTTAATGGTTCAACACTGAACAAGGAATAAATGCATTTATAATTAAGTGTATGGGGAAAATTGGTGATGATCAGACATTAGATGATTGCAGACTTGAATGTATATCTAATTTTATATATGATTGAGGCCTTGTTGTTCTCTGAGAAAGGGAATAATTGTTTATATACAGTAAGGAAAGCCATAAACTGAAAGAAAAGGGAATAGTGTGCTTCAGTGTGTGTGGCAAAATAAGAAGCTGAGTCAAAAATGAATGGATGCTGTCTGAATGCAAAACAAGTGATGGGTATGAAATGAGTCTGTTAAGATAGCTTGGTCATATGCAGAGAAAGAATGACGGCAGAACTTCCAAACAACCATATGATGGAGAAATGAATGAATTGAGAGAAATAGAAGACAGACAATCCATAGCTAGTTGGAGTTGATGGCATCCTCAAAAATGAGAGTTGAGAGGTTTAAAGAAGAGACAGAATGCATGAACTGGTATATTGAACGGTACAAGCAAGGATGGTGGCTAGGATAGAAAGGTATAGAGAAATAAGATATGAATACTAATGGTGTAACTAAGTTTGGTTATATTTCATTTAATCCATTTGGCTTATTGTTTATTCTTTGTACAGTGTTACTTACTCTGAAATGGAGCAGTTAGATGTGTGTGTGTATGTATGTATGTATATATATATTTGATTGGTAGAAAATAATTTTTACAATGTACGCTATTTTCATAAAATTTTGATTCATTGCTTTTCCATGGTTAGAACCATGTGTTATCATTAGGCTTATTTAAGCTATAATTTTGATGATCTCTAGATATTTTTTATTTCAGCTACCACTATGAAGTACAGATTACGTATCATTCTATATTTCATTATCGTATTATTATCTCTCTTTCTATCTTTCTCTTCCTGGACTAAGTTCTTCAGTAACCTTGGCAAGATCTTTAGAATCGTTTGCCATTGCCTTCTTTCTAAGACTGAGAGGAAGTAACGAACCCAAGATCACCAAGCTGGCTTTCTCATTAAGGTGGAATTAGATTTCCAGGTGGTGTCTTAACCACTACACAAATAAATCTCTCCCTCCTTCCCTTTGTATATCCCTCACTCCCTCTCCTCCCCTTTCTCTCCATCTCTCTCTCTGATGTGAAATAAGGATATGTAATGTCGACCAAAGTTCTGAATGCCAAATATTCCTGTACATTGGCAATATTGAGTGCCTAGATTAGCTTTAGTTGAAATAATTTATGCATCTGGCATTAATACTCAAAATATAAAATGTTCTGGAAATGGCTCCCAATAAGATTTACTGGTAAATAAATTCAGTATTAGGAAACTTAGTTTCAGTGCATTATAAAGTAGTCCTGACCAACCTCATTTGATATAATATAGTGAGTCATAATCACTGTGATCTTTCACAGGTGGCTTAGATTTTAATTCCCATAATTCAAAGAGAAGAATTAGTAAAGGTGGGTGTATGTAGGTGAAAAGCTTAACTGATTCCATATTCTGTACATGGTACACTTATAACTACAGTAGCAAATAATTACAGTGGTAGTTACTGCAGATGTAGATTGAAATAGGATACTTTTTGTTTACTAAT